CCACAATTGGCCGGGTTGCCGATGTTTAGATCAGCCTAAATATTCCACAGCGCGACAGAAAAGTAGTAAAATAGCTAGTCGGCACAAGCTGGCGCCATCTTGGATATAGTCGGGAATGTCCGCTACCGCCGTCGGGAACGCTCGGTAGTGTCACGATTACCGAAGCCCGACCGAAAGCTCTCCGATTATAACCGGGAAGGCTACCGAGCGTTCCCGACGGCGGTAGCGGACATTCCCGACTATATCCAAGATGGCGCCAGCTTGTGCCGACTAGCTATTTTACTACTTTTCTGTCGCGCTGTGGAATATTTAGGCTGATCTAAACATCGGCAACCCGGCCAATTGTGGAGTTATATTGTAGGGAAGCTCGGGACAGCAAAAAACCGGGTCAAAAACGGAGCATCGAGCAGCCAACGGGAAATGTGCAGTTCTGCCAATGGATCTTTCCACGACTATTGCTGAGGGTAATGCAATGTAAGCCCGAATCAATAGTCGCCACGGCTATGGGCTGGGTAGTTGGTGACGACTTTATACTTACACCTGTTACACCTGGAACAACATGCATGGGACTCAGTACTCTAGTCGTCATACAAATTCTCATCTTCAAATATTGTTGGCTCTGTCAAAACAAATATTAAATTTCCAATCTCAGATTTTTGGGGTCATGTTCAAAAGTCTAATATTCAAACATCACCCCTCAACAACTGCATGCTGAGCAAGGAACTTGAATTTTCATGCAGTAAGTAAATAGAGAAGTCCTGACCTGTTCCAGACTCTTTTACCATCTTTTACCAATGATAGATTCTTGGTGTCTTTTCGACTGCCAAAGACACCTCTCTGAGCACTATGTGACGTGAATCATTGCCCTGGATATGGTCTTTTGGTGCATAGATAACAACTCTGTTAGCGCCCCCCTCCCCACTCGAACTTTACCACCGTCTCCCCTCCTTCCTTCCTCTTCCAGGTATCTCACCATTCACCTTATCCATGTCATCCCTTAGAAAACCGCACTATCGTGTCTCTTTTTTTCCTGCCCTTGGAACACGTTTGTTCTACATTGAAACTCATTGTATTTGATGAAAACAAATAGGACAACAACAAACCACGTTTCAAGCAGGGCCAGTGTGCACAGTCAGATATAAACGCCCCCAGCGGCTGCTCGACTTACTGCAGCGTTGAAATTGGGGAATAGCCTGTGCCGACACTTATTTTCGAAATTCTTCTTCTTCTTCTTCGGTACTCTCTAACCACCCCTACTGGGGTATCACTGAGAGGGGGGGGGTGCGACAGACTATGGCTGCGCGGCCAGAAGCCCGCAACAAATTCTGTGTTTTTGCTTCATTTCACTTCAATGAGGTATATCGACAATAGTCCGGACAGTATTTGAGACAACGTAAAGTACAACTTACCACCAAAACGGACATGGCGCGTATTCCTGGGCGGAATTTTTACCCGCTCGTTCTTACCTTCCATGCACGCTCACTCGCCATCTTGGATCCGGAACGGCGTGTTTCACGCACCTGTAGGTGCCACCTGTAAATCATGAGAAAAATTTGAATTCGATAATCAAGTTTAACATAAGATTAACAACAGGCCAATGAACAATCATCGCACATATAGGTCTGAAACCTACGATGACTTAATCATGGGTTTTATCTTACAAACTCGAAATTCTTATGAAAAATTTTCTATCCCTATCGTTTGACTTTGTATAAATTAAGGAGGGAAACACACCTTAGTAATTTTCCAATAAATTATCTTTTTTCGACGCATTATTTATCTAAATTGCGACAAGAACATTACATTTTCTGACTAGTAGCCTTTGTGTTGTAGTAGGTGACAACTTAAAACATTATAAGCTAGGAATACGTCTATAATGACTCGGTACAACAAGCTCAATAAATTTCGAATTCACGCGACATACGTGTATCATATTACACTGCACTTCATTCTTCAAGTGATCATTATTCGACGTTTTTTAAACTGAAAATCCATTTCTACTGCCCTAAGGTCGCTTCGGTTGCCTAAAAAGCGGACAAAATGGATAAAGTCGGACGAGTTGGACGATAACGGTAACTTCAGATGAGACAATAGAATCATACACACTTATAACGGTAGTTGAGCTGAAATAGATGGATCAATGGGGAACGTGGGAGATGATATTATGAAATTACCTCAGTGTCCGAATGTTAGTGACTGTGAACGTCACGCGAGCGGGACTAACCATGACTCTCGGTGTGATCCACTTCCACACCGACTGGTTCAGCCAACCAGGATGCCATGACGGTCCAGATACCCGGACGCTCCTGACGGACAGACGATCTCTCCTTCCCGCCATCACTCTGGCCTGCATTTCGCGTCTTTGACTCCATTTCTCCGGGAAATGTGTGGAAAAGATGGTGAAAAGTGTCAAGTTGAGTTTGCTACACAAGGTCGCGTTCGAATTGATTTGTGACGTCTTGGAGGGAACATTCGAACAGCAGTTCGTTTTAGGGAAACAACGTCACAGGCAAACTTGTACAGACTTCGTGACGTTTTGTCTGATTTGCCCGCGATTTAATCACAGTAAATATATGAACTTGATCTGGCAGATTTTAAGCAAACTTTTTTTTTGCCTTTAGCCTCACTGTAGGCATGACACTTTTGTACGGTATTTTTGTAGTCTGGCAGTCGCGTGACGTTGTTTTTTCCAAAACGAACTGCTGTTCGAATGTTCTCTCCAAGACGTCACAGATGGGACGCGGCGCCTGCGTGTTGTCAAATTCGAACGCGACCTTGTGTAGCAAACCCAACTTGACACTTTTCACCAACTTTTCCACACATATCCCGGAGAAATGGAGTCAAAGACGCGAGATGTAGGCCAGAGTGATGGCGGGAAGGAGAGATCGTCTGTCCGTGAGGAGCGTCCTGGTATCTGGAGCGTCATGGCATCCTGGTTGGCTGAACCAGTCGGTGTGGAAGTGGATCACACCGAGAGTCATGGTTAGTCCCGCGCGCGTGACGTTCACAGTCACTAACATTCGGACACTGAGGTAATTTCACAATATCATCTCCCACGTTCCCCACTGATCCATCTATTTCAGCTCAACTACCTTTTTAAGTGTGTATGATTCTATTTTCTCATCTGAAGTTGCCGTTATCGTCCAACTCGTCCGACTTTATCCATTTTGTCTCCCTATATATAGCAACCGCTTCCCAGATTGCTGAGACCACTGGGCGTACCGATGATCGCCGTGACTCTGTGGCGACGCCCCGAAAGGCGACTGTTGCCCATCAGGGGGAAGGCGACGTGAAAGGCACGGCCGGACACAGCCGCGATCGGGCTGTCCGTCGAGCCGCTCGCTCTTCCCGCAGAGCCAAGCGGTCAGCGTCTGAGAAGACGACTGCTGGTGAATCGAGGGTCCGTCGAAAGCGACAGAAGAGGAAAGCTGACGAGGTCGAAGGCGAGTCCGACCCCAGCCGAAGAGAAAGGCACCAGCGGGTCCACCACAAGGTACGTACCGCGATCCCCGCCTGTCTAGAGTGGCGCTCATCTACCGAGACGTGGTCGCAGGAGAGCGGGTCCTGGTCAACTACATCCCCGACGATCCCTGCCCGTGGGAGTCTCCCGACGGCGAGGAGCTGTCGGCCTGCCACGAGGGCGCCACCCCCAGCGACGTCACCTTCGACGCCGCCTACCGCCAGTACCAGGACTTTCACACCAGGAGGCTGCTTTCTGAGGTAGCTAGCAAACTCACGATGTGGCTGGACAACCAGGAGCGGGTGTAAGATCCATCTGAAGCAGTGAAACAAGTTGGACTTTTAAAGAATGACCTGAAATCAAAGTATATATTGGCCAATAAGGTCTTTTAAGAAATGTGTATATTTTCATATAGAAGTCTTAAAGTATATCTATTTTTTATATGTCAGAGAAAAAAACATCCTTATGGTTCACGAAAAAAATCGTCGCTAAATTGGCTGGAAAAAAATTAAGATACACAGAGCCATACAGGAACAGGTTGACTTTTATCTAAATGAATTTATTGAAAGAAAATTGTGCAAACACAGTAAAAATGATGTCGTGATGACGTTAAAAATATTTGCATGAAATGATACTACACCATGTGTCAAGTCATTGCAGTACCACTACTACCACTTTGTACTGATGAGCAATGTGTAAAACATTACTATTATATGATGGACTGACATGGTCCAAACGACTTTGTTGTGGTCATCATTTGCAGAGAAACAAGCTAAAAACCCTACAATTGAATTTGTGTATCATTAGTGTAATGTCGGTACAATACAATATGAGGCTACACCACAATTAAAATCATGACACAACACAAGTTGCGTGTTTTTTTGTTGGTTTTCATTGGACGGCACATGTGCAAGTGCAACCCTTATCTTTACCCCAAGCTATGCCCAGGATACGCCCATTGACGTCAGTACGGCGAAGATCGACCATATATCTTGAGGAAAACAGATAGAGCGAAGATATAAGCGTGCAAATCTCTTTAGAGTTGTCGACATCCCGCGAACGAGCGTTGACCAGTGATACATTGTACATGTACATGTCTTTCAAGGGAGATGCATCGGGCATTGTCGGCACCATATTTCGGACGCTGTGCATAAGTGACCAAGAACATCGTGAAACGAATGAGGTTAAAACCTCCTTGCTGAAAATAAATAAATCAGTAATTACTACTACGCCCGCAAAACTTGAAGAGATTTATGCGCCTAGGGCATATGATTCATAGGTTTGCAATTGATGACACTCAGCCATTCTCCACCGACCCTTTAGGGCATATATTGCATACCTTTGCAGCTCTGCAACTCAAATACCAATTCTAACCTGCGTGGATACATGTCTTTAGAAAAACCAGTGCTCTTACGTTAGCATCACAAGAGACTACCATTGGAATATAGTCAAATACATGTATCTGTGTCTTATGAGAAGTTATAACCATAAAGGCTGTAAGCGAATTTGCCACAAAAAGACATTCAAGTATCAGTAGTAATTATTTAAATACAACTTTTATTCAGTGCTTTTCCTATCACAAGATGTTGGCAATGTTGTAAAAGAACTTTCTTTTTGTTTGTTCCACCTCATGATGCACCAAACTACTCTGGTCCATTACTTTACAGATGAACAAACAGTAATCATTGCAAATACTCTGAATCAACATAAGTACATCATAACATGTCACCTTTTACAATAACACTTCATTTGTGTATGTTTGTAACACAGTGCACAATATACTGTAATCTCTTTGGACTCGTCCATATTGAAATCTCAAAATAGAAGACAGCAGATAGGAACATTTTCACCCTACTTTCAGTCAACTTTTATGAACAATGAGATCTTGGGCTTTCACCTATTCTTTAAAAAAAGGTTTCGTCCTTCATAATCTTTAAAATGGAGCAGTCCTATTAACACTTACATGTATGTCACCTACAGACATACAAGGTCCACAAACTGAACAACACCTGACACCATGGATGCCCATCTATAGTATACCAGTAATACATGTCACATTAAAGGTAAATGTGAAGGTAGTCCCATAGTCCTTTTTCAGGCCGTAGGGGCAGTGGATTGTTAAACCACTGTCTCTTGGGCATGGTATTGAAAGGCAGTGCCTATCCCCTCAACTTCCGTCTTTTACCTCTCCAACCGAAGTCAAGTACCCATTTTACAACTGGGTGGAGTGAGGAAAGTAATGTGAAGTGCCTTTCCCAAGGGACCTCTTGGTCCTGAGCCAAACATGCTACTGCTAAGCCGCAGGACCCTACATTTCACATTACCAGATCTTCAATTACCTTACACTTGTTATTGAAGGCTGTGATGTTACTTTTGCTGCACTCACATCATGAAAAAGTCCACTTAATAAGTGACAACCAAATTCACGATTTCTGTATTAGGACAAAATAAACTTGTGATCATTTTTTGTCAAATTTATATGTCCTTTTGATATCTTCACAAAAATGAAGTACATGTAATCTAATAAACTTTTTTACATGAAGAGTGCACAATTAAAAACAGCACTGGATAAACTATTAATACTCCACATAATCTCTTAACAAATAATCACATGTACTCATGTCACTCATCATAGAGAACAATTAATGTTGTAAAACAACCTGTACATGTAAGTATAAAACACAATGGTACAAATAATTAATACACGTTAGAGGCATATTACATACTGATATGTGCAAGGTCAACACATTAAGTAGAAGGCATTTTTGGTCAGAGTGGAAATGAAAAACAAAATCACGATACTATAAAAAGCTCATCTTCAGCTTAGTGCAATCACTATATAGTCATTACAAATCTGTTTCAGTGCAGCTTTACTTTAATTTCACAAGAATCTCGTGGAATAACGGACAGTACAATTAGGTAGTTAAGTGCACATGAACTCTAACTTTTTAAGTACACGAAGAGAAAACTAAACTGGCCTTCTCCCATCTTATGTAAAATGCTCATTGGTGTATGATTATAAACAAAGACCATTGGCCCCAGCTCCCAGCATGCTGCTGTGTCATACATAATCAAACTCATCAATCTTGACTTGGTCGTACGGTTTGGTCTGTACATTTTGGATCAGTTTTTTAACTTCTGATGCGATGAAGACTGTTGAGGTAAGTGCCACCAGGAGAACAATATCTGAGGGGAGAAAAAAACATGTGTAAGAGAATATGTACATTGTAAATATTCCAGCCTGAAGGTTTAACATGTCCAAAATAAATTCTAGGCATTCATATCATCTCTTTGTCATTCAAATTTCCTACTACATTTTTTCGATAATCATATATTTCACACTAACTAAACATGATCAGAAATGCTATTCTGCAAGTTTTAGAGTGAATGATTCAAAGATGCAAAATTCTAGTGGTAATGTTTTAGTTACTGCTTTCTGATTCATCATCATGTATCACAAACAATAGCAATGACGTCAATATAGTGACACTTTATTGCAAATACATGCCTGGGGGCTAATTTCAGGTACAAACATCGTGTATGGAAAAGAAAATACAATGATGTAAGAGACTAATCTAACATTATACTACATTCTACAAATAATAACAGGGCCTGTATGTACCTTCAAATCTGAGTGCCTCCGTTTGGAACACCCTCTGTAGGGGTGGGAAGTAGATGACTAACAGCTGGCCAATAATGGAGCCTCCAACAGCATACAGGAACACACGGTTGGTGAACAGACCTATCTTAAAAATGGACTTAGTCTGCAAACAATAAAAAAGACAAATACTTTAGGTTGTTAAATGGTAACATGATAAGACGACAATATGTTCTTACAGCCGTATATTTGTTTACAGCCATAGGACAAGTCAGCTGGGAAATGTTGAACAAACTAAAGTAAAATAGTTCCCTTTTAGAACTTATCCAGCCTGTCACACGTGTCACAAGCTGAATAAAAGTTCTAAGCATACTGCAGCATACTGACGTATATATGTAGCCTCTGTGAACCCAAGACAAAGAGAGGGTAAAGAAATGAACACAAAGAAAAGTCTCCATGTTGGATAGAACATGTTTGTTACCTGTGATCTGGAGCTGAGGGCGTTGAACATGTCAAAGAACACAAAGCAGGTGAAGGTCATGGTTGTGTCCCGTGGGGTGATGATGTTGTCCATCATCTGTAGGAACAATGGCAAGGTCAAGGTCAAACTGTGAAGTATGACTTTAACACACCTGTATGTACTAGTATACATGTACTAGCTGTTCCAGCCACTTTGCTATAGGAAGCCATGGAAACGAACATTATTGACACGTTTTCTGCATGTCCAAGTGTATCTACATATTCACTTGTATTTACATGTTCAGGTGTATCAACATGTTCATGTGTATCTACATGTTCAGGTGTATCTACATGTTTACATGTACTGTATCTACATATTCAGGTGTATCAACATGTTCTCATGTATCTACATAATATGCACATTGTATCAATATTCACCTCTCTGTGGAAGACCCAGAGAGTCCCACAGACGATGATAATAGCTGACATGAGGATGTTCCCTAGGAGAGACCTGGTGATGATGGAGTCTTTGACACCTCGAGGAGGTTTCCTCACAACGTCCTTGTCTACAGGCTCCACTCCCAGACTGTAGGGCATGACAGTTGAACATTTAGCCTGGTAAACTACCACTTCATCTACTACATGTTAACATACTATTGAAACATACATACATTTAGAGGGAACACTTCATATACAAATGTATATCCACAGGCGACAATAATAATACACCTAGTTGTTTAAAAGGTAAAAGCAACAAAAGATTTGTGAGAGATACATTGCATACTCACCAGAATCAAGAAGGCAGTCACTTTAGAGATTTGGTAATTTGCAAACAGTCTCAAGACAGGGTTTCTAAGATCCACTGAAAATTTGTTTTCTTCAGTATGAAAGTGTGATGCTGTACTTGACAACTGTATGCCATACAGGTATGAAATGTAGCGAACCTTTGAGCAGGAGGTCCGTCCATGATGATGTTGATCCAGAGGATCTGCATGGCGTTGAGAGGGTTAGGCAGACCACTCATTGTGGACAGGGCTATCAGAGACAGGGCTGCTATACTCCTGTATATAACAACAGAAGGGCAAGATTAACCCTTCATCATAGTGCAGATTTTTTTTTAAAATTTCATATAATACTAGTAATAGTGCTGTAATTGTGCTTTGCTAGTCATAAAAACTGACCATATATTAATGGAGTAACTCTTTTAATAGGGACAAAGTGTTGCAGAAGAAAAGCTGCAAACTTACGTGCTGAGCTGGAATCTCACAAAGTTCTTGATGTTGTAGAAGATGCTCTTCCCCTCTTCAATTGCAGACCTGAAGAAATCAACAAACACGGTCAATTGGGTAAAACCTCAGCCATTCCAAGGACTTCTGATGAAATTGTACTGCTTCTCTACTTTGTGCTCAGCATTTATGTACTACCAGTGAACTAGCCCCTACTGTTTTAGCGTAGCAGTGTGACCAAAGGGCTAAAGAAATGGAGATGGGCAATGCCCCTTACACCATGTAGTGTGAGAAAGACTTTAACTTAACTTTCTTGAACATCTCATCGACTTTTTAAAACAATGATGCTCCAACCTATTTCAGTAATTGTAACATGTTGGTAATGAAGATCACAATAAGGAGATTGTATGTGTTCTATATTAAAGTCTTACATGATAGTGAAGAAGTCGTCATCCACTAAGATCATGTCGGCTGCCTCCTTACAGACATCTGTCCCCACCTTCCCCATGGCCACCCCAATGTCAGCTGTCTTCAGGGCCACTGCATCGTTCACCCCATCTCCAGTCATACACACGATGTCTCCATTAGCTTGGACAGCCTGGTGTTTACAACAATGGGAAAGGTTTTTAGTATAATCCATACTTCTGAAAGCCTGAGTGGTGCAGATAAAATTTGTCTGGTGCAGGTAATTTTCAATGTTACCTGCAGGTATTAAAGTATGCATAAAAAGTATCTTGAGCCCTGTAAACTGTTAACTATATTCAAGATCAGCTTAAAAAAACAATTCAAAGTCTAATATGGGCCACTACGTGGTTGCAAAACACAATACATTGTCTTGGGTTCAAGAAGTTGGAGTATACCTTGACAATCTTCAGCTTGTGTCTTGGGCTTGTTCTGTAGAACACTGAGACCTGTAAGGATTAACAACAGTCTCTAGTAAGTTGATAGAAGTGAAAGACGTCCCAAATGAAATAATACTAGTGATGGCATAACCCTTTTCAATCTCTTTTCTCTAGCCATACAAAACATAGTTAGACAGAAAAGATATTTTATTTCATTTCCAATTACTTATTTTAGCAGGAAATGCACACATACTCTACTACTGTTTTTTTACTAGTTCAGTATTGTAGAAAAAACAGCTACAAATAGTACTAATTGTAGACATGATTGTCTTTTGAGTAGTTTCTTTGTAGTTTGGTTGTACATGTACATACTGAGTGAATCCTGTGTGACAGCTCCATGATGTCAATCTTCTCTATCTCCTCCCCAGACATGGCCTGGCTGCCATGGGCATACAGACCGAGTCTGCTGCCTATAGGGGCACAGTCATACATTCTATCATCTTCTCATTCACAGTACATCACCAAGAGAACACTTCAAATACAGGCAATGTTATTCCAAAGCATACAAAAAAAATAAGAGAAGCATTTAGAGAGTAATGAAATATTTTCCCCATAGTCATGACAACAGGAAAATGATAGACATTTTCTGATAAACATTTTCTACAGATCTAGACAAATTTCAGTAACTCACCAATAGCGACTGCCGTGTCCTCCGAGTCTCCAGTCACCATCTTGATGTGCACCCCTCCCCCCTGTAGGGTCCGTATGGACTCTGCCACTCCAGGACGGGGAGGGTCGATGATGCCCACCATCCCCACAAACGTCAGCTTCCCCAGGGCCGGGCCTCTCGCCATCCCCAGAACTGTAGGATACATGTAATTCAGGAAAATTAATGCTTTCTATGTTCACCTTTGCAGAAAGAAGGAAAACATATTGTTTCTCCTTCTTCCTCCTCTTCTTTTGTTCCAAACAAATAAGTCAACGACCTGGACAAGATGTCTGTCACTATGGTAACTGGTTCTGTAGCAGACATCCTGTGGTGTTGGGTAATGGGTATGAATAAACAGAGCAGTACTGTAGTTTGTCAGGCTAGACCATGTGAAGGTAAACATAATATGCAATTTGCTTTGCAAATGTTACTTTTCTATAGTTTTCTTTCAGTTTCCATTTGTAATACAAACCAAACGAATGCTACCCTTGTTGGGGAAATATAATTGTAACCATTGCAGTACATTGTTACAGGATTCTGACTAAAAGACCATCTAGCTGACTGTACCTCTGAGGCCAGCCCTGCCCATGAGCTGTGCGTTGTGGTAGTACTCTGCCAGCTGTTTCTCAGTGAGAGGGATGGCTGTACCCCGGCTGTTGTAGGTCGCACACTGCTGTAACACCTGCTCTATGGCACCTTTCATGAAGTATTCCTCAGTCTCCTTCTACAAAAGGATAAACACATGGATTTCAGGAAATCTGGATATTACAATGTTTAATGGAAAAATATCTCAATTAGATCTCAAGCTCCAGAAGACTTCAGATGTCTAGAGAAACTAGATTTCTATGGAACCACATGTTGCTATACATCTAAGAAACCATGAAATCAGATAAAGCTGATCAATACCATCATATGTGCACATATCAGTGACAGGTCTCCTCTGAACTTCAACAGTACATGTCATTGTGTACTACATGTACAAATGTATATTCTACATCCATGTACTAGTATCAGGTCCTCATACTTCCCAACAGTAGGGTCAGGCTACTGTGCAATATAGCATATTTTGTGGTGGAAAGAAGCAGGACCTTAGGGACTACAGTGCTTCATCAGGACAAGACAACAGCTTAAGAAGACTGATGCATGCCCACCACTTGTAACCTGCTGAACCTGGAGTGACTCAATACCTCCTTGTTCCGTGGAGCACACTTCACAGCCATCCACTTCTTCTCTGAGCTGAAGGGGATTTCATCCAGCCTGTTATAGTGGGACTGGACTCTGAACAAACCCAGCTGTGGAGAAACATAACATCACTGATCATCCATGGAGTCAAGTACATTCTATTCTTACAATGAAGTACAATATGCAAACTTATAAGTAAGAAGAAAACAGTTTTGACAGTTACTTGCCAGCAAAAATGTAAGATGCTACCCCCAATTATTTCCTTAAAATGTTGTATCCAGTTGGTATGTGTGACAAAATTCATGACATGATAATTATTATGGCAAAAATAAGTGGCTATTATTCCAACATTGTGTATCAAGCAGGTCTTTCTCAGAAGCCTCACCTTCATGCCAAATGCCACAAGAGCGCCCTCTGTTGGCTGCCCCAGGAGCTGCTCTTTCCTGATCTCAGCATTATTGCACAAACAACCAACCTGGAACATAAACATAGATAAACAACATGGCCATGCCTTTTTCTCTTGAGGTCTATTATATTTACAGGACCGGAATGTATATATAGACTATGGTTGTTCAGTTTATACATACACAATCTATAAGAATTATGCCCAGTAATTTGACATCCAATATAACAAGGTGCATAACTCACAAATTACATTTTGTACTGAAAAAGAATATCCGTTAAACACTGAAAACCGGTACAAATGTATGAATGTTGAAAAGTCATCAATAATATTGTGTTACCTCTGCAATCTGCCATATTGATGCGTGTAGGTGTCTGTCAGCTTCAGCACCCTCCACATACACCATGCCTTCTGAGTTATACCCCACTCCTGTCACCTGCAGACAGGTAACTTCACTTAGTACAATCCTAACCTTCACATACTCAATTCATGTTAGGGACATAAACTGCATTTTGTACAGTTTACTACAATAATCTCTATGTACTCTAACCAAGTGTTGCTGTCCTTGGTACTGAAACTGCAATATACAGGAATTGATAATTTTTTAAGCCACAAAACTGGAAATGACCTGTGTTGACTTTCGAACCTCAAGACTACCCTTGTCAGTAGTGGAAGAAAGCTGGCAGATGCCATCTGAAAGCTCAATGCTTATATCATAAGTCATGTGTAAAAGTTTAATTCCTTCCTTTTATTATGTTCCTTCTAAGCACCAAGAATTTGTGTGAAGTAAATGCATGCATACTGTTCATACAATGTAAGTCCTACCTCCGCTATAATTCCATCAGCAGTGACTACAGAGGTGACAGTCATCTCATTCTTGGTCAGGGTCCCAGTCTTGTCTGAACAGATCACGTTTACACAGCCTGGCAGGGCACACAGGGTATCAAATATCAACACAACATGACCTACATGTACACATAAACTTTGGCACAAGACAATCCACATTTAGTGCCAATGCATTGTGTGTCACCAAGGGCATTCAAATTTCAATGTCTAAATGAAGAAGAACCTTTGTGGTCCAGTGTGACCTTTGCTACCATATACTACTCTTAGGATATTAGGCAGGTTTGGCATTGTGTAAGTTTGTTTGAGATTTCTTTCAATTAAATTGATGCCATATCTTAACATTGAATAATTGAAGAGTCACAATTCATACAAAACAAAAATCATACACAAATCCAATTTAGTAAAAGATATATTGTATAACTATGCATTGTAAAAGTGCCATATTTATATTAAAAATGATAAATAACAGTCAGTCCTTGGAAGCTTCTCTCCACCAGCAAAAAAACAAGTTACAATAATTATTAGAGACTTGTAGATATTGAAAAAAAACTGCTGACCTAAAGTTTCCACAATAGGCAGTTTCTTGACAATGGCATTTCTCTTGGCCATGCGCATGACTCCCAGGGCCAGTGTGACTGTGACCACGATTGGCAGACCTTCAGGAATGGCAGCCACTGCCAAACTGTCAGATATAACACAAACACATTAGTAAAACTTAGGTGCATGCACATCTACAACCTTTTCTCTGTAAATAATTCTCTGTTTCATCAGGTTGGTGAATGACTGAATATCAAAATGCAGACATTTCGAAAAGAAAAACAGAGATATATTCCCACAGATAGAAAAGGTTGTATGAATATCAAAGTTCTTTATTCACAACCACTTATTTTACTTTATTGATGATGAAAATGACAGATGCTCATTGAAATGTTAGTCCTTGTAAAACAAGTGATTGTGAATAAAGAACTTTGATGTTCATACAACCCTTCTATATGTGGGAATTTCTGTTTTTCTTTGTTTTAGGAGCCATCATCCACCCTTAAACCTCAGAAGTATTAACTACATCATACTTCTGTCTCTTACAGCACATAAAGCATAATCATAAAGAAATGCAAAAATGTAACTGTCTGTAGAGTGTACAATGTAGAGTGTACAATTATGAATAATTGAGTGCTGCACCGTAAATTGTCTGCACAGAAAAGGTATTCTTATGCGGCACTGTGACTTCTTTCCAAAGCTAAGATTATTTATTGCAATAAATAATGCATTATTTCTTGTGTGGCAAAAGAGAAAAAAAGTATCAGTACATTTAAGTTGCCTGATCCTATTCAAATAAAGAAAAACATAAAAGATAACAGGCAACATCAATAGGCTTTGTTCCACCCACGCATTGTTTACTTTCATCATGATTAATATGTTTTCATAGTCAATTGTACATGTGATAACAACATCAGTTTAACCAGGATCTCCCTACCTGACTCCCACTGTAAACATGTCCAGCATCTTTCTGCCCTGGAGCCAGCCGAGCAGCATGATCAAACCTGACAGGGGAGAGATAGAAAATTAGAATCATAACAACAAAATTAGAATTATAACAACGGTTACAACATTAATATTGGTACTATAGACCTGACACTTCGCAAATGGAGATGGGAGTGGTAATATTTTGGCAAAACATCATTGTTAATACATACATATTAGAACAAGGACACTCCAGTGTACATAAACATCATTACGTCATATAGTACTACCGGTAATACTAGTATACACTTTAGTAAGTTATAGTGGTATGCCCTGAATATTGGCTTGAAGGTAGAATGGTTCTGTCAGCTTGTGCTGTTTGACTTTCACTTCAACAATCGCCTCAGAAAAGTCAAGATACAACTGAACAAATATCTGACCAAAGGCATATTGCCTATTGCCTAGAATTATTGAACTACTTGAGTTCTGTTGCAAAGGCTATGGTATAATGTAAATATTGAACCTTAGTGTGTACTAAAATAAGGTACCGAACACATGTACCCACCAATTATACAGAAAGAATAGAAGGACAACTGCTTTCCCAGCAAACCCATGTTCTTCTGAAGAGGTGTCTTTGGAGCCTGCAATTTAAGGAATGGCGAAAGTTAGATATATCAAAAATTTTCCTATTTGATGAAATGAAACTTTCAAATCCAGATGCATACTTTCACAGGTATCATACATACAGTTGGCTTGAACAATATTTTGAAAAAAATGTATACACTTTTTTCACACAGACTAGTAAAAAAAATGGTGAGCCCTTACCTCTTCTCCCTGCATCATCTTAAAGATTTCCCCAAATTCTGAGTTCTCCCCAATCCCTATAACTATTCCCTGTAAAGTAAAACAGAACAAAAAATTAAAGTTTCTTTCAAATTATCTAGTACATGATTTCATTAACTTTGTGTATGTAAGAAATAAACCATTACATACAGTGACATCGTCATTTCCATACTTAAACAATACTGTACAACTAATACTAGTACTACATGTACATGGTACCCTATAGATCTATGACATCTAATTTACTACAAAAATACTTTTAACACAATACAGAACAAAGATAGCATTCAGTTAATCAAGCAAATTAAAACAGAGAATTTGTTTTGATGTGCAGAAGATGTTCTCCTACCTTCCCCCTCCCACACCTCACAAGAGTACCCATGAAGGCAATGTTCTTCTTGTTAGCCACGCCTAAGTTACCAGCCAGTTTCTGTGGGAATGTGAACTTGGTACTGGGCTCTGTCTCTCCTGTAAAACTGGACTCATCTATCTGCAGGTCCACAGCCTGGATGGGAAATGGAACAGAACAGCAATGATCAACTTTATTAAAATGAATTTTTGAATATCCAGAGGAAGAATAATTACAGCTTTATGAAATTGCAGAATAGCTCATCGTCACAGCTTTACCATCTAGAAAAGTGAAAAATGCTTCATAAAAAAGTTTTTGAATCCTTTGCTTGTAATTATATATGTTAACATACTGTTAGCTTGTAATAGAGGAAGACATAACAGAACAGTTCACCTGCTAAGTATACAAAATGAATTGTATGTATCTACTACAAAGATCGACATTTGCTCAAAAGCAAATACAGCATATTTCAATCCACCTCCCCCTGCCTCCCTATCCAGAACATTTATGTTCATATAATCTAACCTATATCTGATGCCAAAGAGCTAATACACAGTGGGGAAAAGCTTAACAAGACCTACTTCAAATAATCTGACATCAGCAGGCACCCTGTCTCCTACTGAGAGGTGCACAGTGTCACCAGGGACCAGGTCTCGTGCCAGAAAAACTTTCAGCTTTTCTTCACGCACACTGAAACACGAGAAAAACATGGCAGTTACTCCACAAGTTATGTAGGAACTCTGTATTAGTCAAGATATATCAAAGTTGTATGAAAGCAGGCAAGGTATTGCTAAGTTGGTATTGGAGGTATAAAACACATAATGGTTTTACCAATGACAAGATGGTGGCATCAGCTTGGTCAGCTCCTCCAGTGATTTCTCTGACCGGTACTCCTGTGTAAGGAAGTTCACAATAAAATAGAGTTCACTGATATCTCAAGGGTTTTAAAATTTTCATACATCAGGATAATGTACTTCACTTTCACCTACCATGAGTGTAGAGAGGAAAAGTACCTACCTGTACAAAGGCAACTGTTACTACAATGATGATTGCCTGAAACAGAGAATTGTGTATTTGTTAACCATTAGGTACTGGCAAAACTGCAAAGTTGTACTCCATTTTACAAAAATAAAGCTGCTGCCTTCTCCCTGCTGTCTAATCCCATTCCCAATAGATAATTGGCAGCAAATGGCTAAGCATCCTGAAGTTAAACATCACCATAGCTACCAACAAATTTCATCAGTGAACAACAGAGTGTTCTGACAAATACTTAAATAACATTACTTGGCAACAACAGCTAAACACACAAAGCCTTTTGCTTACTATTACTTTAGCATGGCAACACTAGCACTAAAGAGTTGACCACTTGGCCTACTCTCTCCAGTGACTGCCCAATGTATAATTTTAGGTAAAACTCTACATATGTGAGATAGAACTTACCACTGTGATACTGACTGCATCATCAAACTGTCTCATACAGATGGAGATGAACGCTGAAGCAAGCAGCAGCATTATCAGTGGGTCTTTGAACTGGATGGAAAATAAGAGAAAAATAAACTCTAGGTTAAGTCATCTTTACCTGCTACAATCATTTTGTATATAAAAAATTAATATTTCATACGTAGTATAATCAAGTTGCTTAGCTATATACATTTGAAATCTTTTATGATTGACCACCTAATCAGATGATCAACTCTTTAGCTTTTGATTAAAAAAATTCATGTTTGTATAACTTTAAAATCACAGAAAGAATCTAACTTTTTACAACACTTTTTATTTTCCTTTGGTAATTACATGTATGTCAACATTGAGGCATCTGTAAATTTCTGTGAATGTGATTCTGTTGTGAAATGCATCTGGTAAAAAAAGTTCACAAAAACATCACGATACCCACCTGCCCAAGATATTTCTTCCATAGAGGCTCATCCTCGTTAATCTCAAAGTCATTATGGCCGTGGATCTGCCGTCTCCTGGCGGCCTCCTCGTGGGTGAGACCGCGGTGAAAGTCTGCTCCCAGGGCGTACTGGACGTCCTCCGCGGACATCTGAGCCGCGTCGGCAGACTTAATGGTCCTCACAGCCATCTCAGGGTTCATCAAGATCACCTACAAAAATACAGCGAAGTCTGTTTTTAAACTATGTATGATCTCTACACAAAATTCTTTCTTCAACTTTAAGCACACATTATACAATGCATAAAGGTTCCGACTTTCTTCCCTCACCTGGACCTTTACACAGTGCTTTAAGATGTGCTTAAGGATGAGATTTTGTGCAGTGGATGTTGCAATTCAGGAAAGATACCAGACTTTAGAATGGCGAGAAAGCATGTAGCACCTCCCTCATGCCTGCATGAAGAACAGAGCTCCTAATGCTACCACCTGAGGAAATTATCCACCTTGGTTAAAAACAAGCTTGTTGGGAATAATGAAAAGCTGTTAATTAATGCAAATGTTAATGTTTATGCATGGCTCAGCAGAAAAAAATAACAAGCCATCTCCCAGCCTGGCCGTGCACAGCTTTGACCTGCCTCCTACTTAGTAATGATCGCTTACCCTGGCCACAGAGGCTTTTCATTGACGTCATAATAATAATGATCATAATTTTGCCCAGCAGCCATGTTGGTGGGTAAGTACACTATCTTACAGTGCATTTAACAGTCATACACTGTAATCCAGGTGCATGTGACATTATATGAACAGCCTGTACTCTGGTAGCAGACCAAAGCTGTGCATGACTCGATACCAGGCTAGCTATCCAAAGCTTGAGGCAAGAAAGACACCTTGCAGTCAGTACTTCCTCTACCTTATCTGTCAGCTGGATTTCAACAGCATCTTGCTTGGAATTCTGTGAAGAAAAAGGTTTTTTTAATCCAAACCAGGAAATGACATTTCCCTCATCAAGACAATACCACTGGTATATTATACCCTTAGTACTGAATGTACATGTACTTTACTATATCTGCACTAAAAGTAAAGGAACCATGTAGCATGAAATGCATGATACAAGATGCAAATAGGTGCTTAGTACAGTAATAGTGAATAAATGATTAACAGATTCCAAAGAAGAAAAACACACTCACAATAAACGTGACAGCTGTTTGCATTGTTACAACCAACTAAAAATGTCAAGGGTCATTTGGAGTGGGAGGTAACCCTTCCAGTATCAGGGCCATTATAGAATTTATGAACACAATGTCTGGCCCTGTGTAGCTGGTGTATCAAATTATGTGTATGAAAGGGAGTTAAACCGGTTCATCAACAGACACACAGACATGAAGAAGCCATGTCCAAATCTGCCTGACATTCAGATTGGGAACATTGGCACCTATATAGCTAAAGGCTTCTCTGCCCCATCCCATAATTTGCCGAATTTGCACACGCATAATCACATGACATGCATTCTCCTTCCTTGAGTCAAGGGTTAAAATGATGAATACCCTTTATGTACGTCTGTCTTCCTGACAATTCTCTTGCTTGCAATATTATTATATACCGTAATAATATGACTTACTATTGTTACAAAGAATACTAGTAGTAAGAATACAAGACCTATAATAATTTTAAAATAAAAATTGCAAACATGAGAATCCCTGTAACAGTCCTCATGCCTACATGTACTAGTACTAGTATGTATTCCTGTATACACAGTTCTCACCCATCTTAGGTGGGGTGGGAACCGGCAAATTAAATCACATCAGACATTATTACATGCTTTGTTAGTGGCGGTTGCTTTTCACACACCTCCATGTTTGTCCCAGGACAAATAATTTATTTGCAACACTTGTATAATTTATGGATTGTCTTGTAGGCATTGTGTACTTCTCAGAACTGCCTTTATAGCATGAAAAGCTCTTCATACGTGGCTCAAACTTAACGTCACGATGTAACCTTGTAAAATGGGCTAAGGACACCAATTCAAGTGAAGGTTTGTGGATGTTTTTAGCCCTTACCTGGCTGTCGGACGCGTCAGCTTCTCCTTGTTTCGGACATGCCCCTCCCTCACAACTCGGACTGTTCCCGTTTGTAGTCGCCATCTTGGTGGTGTTGCAGTTGACCAGGGCCGGACAGAAAGCGTCTAGTCATCGTTTTGACCAAAAGAGTCGCCGCTCAGGATCAAATGTCTGGGGGCATCACCTCTGTACGTGCAGTAATCAACTTTCGACGTCAACCAAGGCCGCCAGTCAGCCGCAAGGCTACGTACGCATGTGTTAGGGGTAGTCCACATACTTCCCTAGGGAAGTTAGATTTCGTTAAACGTTAACCAAATCCACAATCATACAATATAACTAGTTTGATACAATTGTCATATAAGTATTATAAGTAAAAAGTATGTGAGTAAATTCACTTGTTTTTTTGCTCCGCATTTATAAGGAAAAAAATTCGTCCAATTGATTTCACCCCTATTTATTTTGGAACAACCTTAAGTTGTCGTTCCCAGGCATCTGTCATTACTAATCCCATCTTTCCGCAAATGTTCATCCTAACTTTCATGGTTTATTTAAAAAATGTTCTACATCTTTTTATGACACCCGAAATATTATACTTCTGTTGTTTCCAGAAATTATGATTCTTAATATTTGCACCCTATAAAATTAGTGGTTTAGTCCAGTCACGTCCCCAGGCGATATTGTAGCATATGTTTGGCGGGAAAATTGAGACAATCAATTCAAAAGTAATATTATCAGGCGTTTCTCCATTTTAGCCGTTACTATGGACCAATACTTTCTCGTGGTGTATACTGGACATCCTAACGGTGAGCTTTGTATCGAAACATGTTCTTATTTTAATACATCAACCCGTCTATCTGTGCAAAGTTGTGTACTGGGGAGGGGGGCATGCAGTTTCTTGCATACTTTTTTTTTACAAGGAGTTTCAATTACTTAAATATGTATGTATGTATGTATGTCCCTTAGATGCAGATCTTAACGTTCTCCAAAGAGATATGCTTGATCTGATGCAATCATTGCAGACAGAAAGACGTCCGGCGCTTCAAACTTGGTTACAAGGTAAACAAAGTTGTAACTTTTAGATTCAAAAGTTATCTTCTTGATTCGAATATTTGTTGATATTAATGTTTGACAACTGGTTAATCTTATTTGATTATTAATTAGTTATTATGTGTTAATTATGCTGCAAGGATTTATGCAAATTATATCTATTTTCCTCACCATGGCATGCACCCAACAGACTGTCCCAACCAGGTCATCCATAGAGTACCCTGCCTGCATCTGGCATTTGTAACATCATGGGAGGGACATCTTACTCAGGTGAATAATAAATTGTGATCTTGTTATCATCATAACAGTTTGAAATCATCTGATACCTGTGTCATTTCCATGTTTCTCTTTTTGAAAGAAACGAGTTGGAAGTTCTACGACTGTCATGGACTAAACATTGATTTTACCCAGGAAAAGAAGAAAGGAATATCATCATCATCATCCTGGCACGCCTTAGATCAGACCTGTGGAGAAGAAGAAGAGTTCAAGAGATGCTGGGTACAGCAGGTAGAACAGCTGATGAAGAGCAGGTTGAAACCTTCACAGGAGACAAGAAAGGACCAAGAGGAAGACAACAAAGATATTGAGTCAGTGGCAACTTGTACTTTCTTCTTCCAGTGCCTATCTTGCTCTTCCTTTAATTAGAAAGTCTATGAGAACTTGAATGTGTCCTCGTTCAAAGAACAGAAATCTCCAGTAGAGTAAGTATTTTAGATAAGTTGATCACCATGTATTCTAAGCATTATTGAAAATAAGTAGTAGGGAATTTACTCTTACTTTTCCTTTAGGGCCCACATGGCGAATCTGGCTAATTCCATTCATGGACTTGCTGACCAACTTCCTGGTAGTGGTAGGTTTCTTTCAGATATTTGTCTTATAAAATACACATGCCTTATTACAATAACTTGGAAACCCTGAAGTCCATGACTCCAGATATAGAATTGTATTTTTAACAAACTTCTCATTCTCTCTTTCTAGACAGTTTTATGCTGAACATAGTTTGGATCTCGTCGTCAGAAGATGTCACAATAGAGTAAGTATTTTCCTATTTTAAATGGTAATTGTCATGTGTGAGTGATAACTATGCTTAACAGTCTACACATGTTACCAACTTCAAACTTGGCAATAGACTAATTCAGCCAAATTTTAGATTTTACACTGTATATGGAGTAAAGCCTTTTTTCTAAGTAGGAAAGCAGGAACAGATGATGTCTGCGTTACTTGAATGTATAAGAAATCAAAAGACCATGTTTTGATATACCCAAAAATATCTCTTTTTGTTTTCTCCACTAATATCAGGTCTCACATTCAACTGTTGGGAGCACTGAAGAGACTACATGACTGGCACCACGCCCATGTTAGGATAGTGTGCACATCATCAGAAAGGTTTGTATAACCCTTGGTTTGGTCACAAACTAAGTCATGCCTATTGGCTATAGTTGTCACCATGTAACCATTCTCGGTTATCTTTAAAAATTACCAGTGTCATTGTGTGCTTCACAAAATTTTACAGTTAAGTTATCATATTACAGTTTAGTCAATATGAAATACATTTTTATGTAACTTAACTACTTTCAAATGGGCTAAGAGGTACGTTAAAAATATTTGAATCATAATCCAAAACTGGGAAAGTTTTGTCTTGAGTCCTTTCAGAGAAAAGCAATCATTTATTACCTTTGCAGGATTACAAAGATGCAGATAGTGAGAAGTCTTGGTAACAATGCCAGCCAAGAGGAGTCACTGTCAGAAGCTTTGAAATGTTCCCTGAACCCCCTACATCTATGGAGAGGTTCTGTCCATGTCCATGAGTCTAAGGTGGGCTTTTCAAAATCTTATTGTATTTCTTCCTTAGGTTTAAGTTTTAATGTAGATGTAACCAAATTACCGTATGTTCTTTTTCCTAACAGGGTCCACAGTCTTTGTCCTTGCCAGGATTTTCACTAGAGTATAGGACAAACCCTCCCAGTATTGGAAGAATTAAGACTTCGTTGATGTCAGGGTAAGGAAAAAAATCCTTTTTTTCACAGTCAGTACAGGTTATTTGTGCAAAGAATTTTTCAGTACAATTATAATCGATCAACATGCCTTTTTACTTTGCAGGAAAGAATATAAAAGTACAAGTTTAGTAACAACAGAAGCTGAACATCATGTAAGTAACGTTACATATAACTGTTATTGTACTGACATTTTAAACATGCAAAAGTCAATACAAAGTTTGATCTCCTTCTGCCTTTTCTACTTGTAAAATGCAGAAACTTGATGTTATATGTTGAAGAAAAATAACCATAATTGTTTTCCATCCTACATTTTAAGGGTTCTCTTGAACTGAGCCAGCAGCTGGAACTGGTACAGGTGGTTCAGCTGGAAGATGTCCCACGCCACCTGATATCACCTGCAAGTCTCAACCTGTATCCTTCATCAAGTGTTCCATTCACCAGTTCATGATAATAGCTGTCATTGGCATGTATATAAGTTCTTCCTGCATCAAAACTATTATTAGTCACAACATTTGAACTAAAGATTTCTTAATGTTTGGCTGACTCTATCTACTAATAGTCTTCTTGATAAAATTTCTTAAGAGTTTTTTAATGGAATACCTTGACTTTGATCCAGTAAATTGTCAACAGAACATCCCAAAAGCCAGAGGTCCAGAACTTTGTATGAGGAAGTCACTGGGAATCCCAAGGTAATGTGCCTGGTTTTGATTATCATATTTCTTTCTTGATAATCCCAAACTCTGTACAAAAGTTTTAGTAAGCATAAGTATGTTGTGTTAATGTATACTATGAACAGATGGCCCTGCTGACCAGGCTGACCTGTACTAGAACACTGCTGCCTCTCAAGCCTTCCAAGGACCGCAGCACGCAGGAGTGGACAGACAAGTTCAAGAACAAACCGTCTGACATTGCAGGTTAGGACAGATCTGTAGCATATTGGTTTACTACAGCTATCCAGCATGTTGTGAACACAAAATAAATATGTAGTTGAGCTTGGAAGCCTCATCTGTATCACCATAGCTTTGTTACCATTGCTGTTTTAGTTTTTCTATTATAGTTGCCTTTCCCATAGTACAGTTCCAACACTATTCTGCAAGCCCCTATATTAAAGTGAGATTGTGTGCCATGGTTTGCAGCGCCCCCTGTTGAGGTGAAGGGAGCAGTGCATGACCTGCATTTGCTTGTTGTTGGGGATGGAGAGGGAGGCTGCATGGCACACATCCTGTACCCCCCTGCTCAACTAAATGGTGCTGTCCTGCACAGGCTGGCAACAATGGACAACCGACTGTTAGAAGACAAAAAAACTGGTAGGTGTGGAACACACAGGTATAAATCTTAAAATTATTTCTGTGCATATACTTTTTATTTAGTATCTATGACTATTTTAGAGCATCTTTGCCAAAAGTTTTACACTTAAAAATGAAATATTTTCTAGTTCACAAAAGAACCTTTTATATAAACACAGAATCAGTAGATCTTTATGAACATGACATTACCATTGCAGACCTGACACCAGTGGAGAACATACTGTGTCAGCTGCCAGACCTAACCAGTGGACTAGTGGGGATGGAGAAGGACCTCCTACAGCTGCAGGTGTTTGCACTGAAGATGTGGACAGGTGAGAATACCAGGTGTTACAAAATAAACTGTGGACATTAAGAAACAACAGAGCTAGGTTTGTTTACTGCTTCTCTGTACATAAAGTCAAAATTTCCTGTCAGGATCTAAAAACCTGATTTTTTTTCTTCATTTTTTTGTTCTTCCACAAACAGAAGAGAAGACTGCTGCTGGTCAGCCTCCACAGTTGACCTACCAGGAGATAGTGACAGTACTGAGTGCTGTGAAGGAGGAGTACTTAAAGAAAAGGCTGGGAGAGAGGAACATGGCTGAAACACATCTGTCCGGGAAAGGGCTGGATTTCACAAACATCAAATGTGCTTCTGGTAAGACAACGTTTCCTCAGGGTCTTACAACTGAAAGAAAGTTCACAGAATTAAAGATGGCTACTAGAAAAAAATTGTGCAATCAGAAGAATTCTTGGTAAGCGAAAAAACTACAATAGATGATATGGGGTTGCCCTGTTGTAAAAAGAATTCCATTTGTGCTGTACTTTTTCAGAGCTGGATCTGGACAGCAACTTGTGGCCAGAGAAGGAAGCTCTGATCAACAGGGAAACTATTGAGGAAATTGAAAAGTAAGTCATCAGATTTAAGTTGAAACTTTGTTGTGATGTTGAGAAGTTCATAAAATAATGTGTGATGTACATGTAGAGGCTGTGCCACCTCACTAACATTTATTAATTCTTTAACAGATCAATGAAACGTCAGAAGTCAGTGGATATTTTACTAGGAGGGCTGCAACCACCCAAACGAATGGACAATGGTTAGTGTATTAATTTTTATCTCATTAAGATTTTTTTACAGTATTGATTGGTACTTGTTTGTAAGGCAACTACAGCACCCAACAATTAAACAAAGTTATCAATAGGGTGTACATGTATGGTATGCCCATATATGATGACGCGTGTTGTACTTTCCATGGTGCTGATTGGCTGTCAATCATACTTTCCATGGTGCTGATTGGCTATCAAGTATACTTTGCATAGTGCTGATTGGCTATCAATTATACTTTCCATGGTGCTGATTGGCTATCTCTCACCCTTTCCATGGTGCTTACTTCCAGAAATCAAGTTAGATGCAGAGGAGTTCATCAAGCACTTCCAGTCCAATGGCATGGCTGCAAAAGACAACCTGACACCTCTACAGTTACCTGTAAGTTAACATTTTTTCCTGTGCTTCTGTGTATCATTTGCTCCAGCTTAACAATTTTACATGAAATCTTGATGCCATTTTGCGTAGTCATCATTCAACATACAGTGCTAGGGTGCTGTGTTTGTTTGTTGTATAATGACTGGCAAAGTTCAAGCTTTACATGAGACAAGAAACTGCAGTGTTCTATTTGTGTCCTATATATGTTGTCCATACAGAAGAAAGGAAAACTGAGACAACAGACAAAGCAGTCTCACGATGTAGAAGCAGAGCAGATGAAGGCCACACCCTTCTCAGAGGCAGTAAAAACAGACCTCCCTGGAATAGAGTAAGTCTCAAACATTTACCACACTGACAGGATCTATCCTGTTTTTTGAGTCCCTATGCTGATTTCTACAAGTATTATCAGTGTATTCCCTGTAGAGCTAGAGACTCTTCTTATCTGGAATCTTCTTATTAATCACGAGTCTCCCCTTTAAACTCCTCCTCCCCCTCTCCCATCAGGTACTGCCTGGACAGTAAACAGTCTGAGGACCAGGATGCTCGGATGTCACTCATCCAGTCTAGATACGTCAGCCATGAAACCTCCTCCACCTGCACCGTGGACAAGGCCTCCTCTCCTGCTACCATGGTAACCAGGTCAGCCACGCCCAAGAAACAGACTGCTAAGCATGCTGGGAGGAGAACCACCCCAAGGTCACAGAGGTCAGGCAGCAGCAGAGTGGAGAAGAGGAAGGCTGATGAGAGCTTGGAGAGGGGGCAGGGTAAAAGGTTAGTCTTAGAGAAAGTTGTGCATAATAAAGATCATCACAAGAACCACACATAGAAAAAGTGGGATCATTCGTCTTCCACTGCCAAAATTGGTCACGTTATATTGTTGCCGGTATCCATTGTCCATCCTTTTATTTTATTTTTATGTTACTACAATAACCTACAATAAGCCTCAAGCCTCAAGTTTCATTTTTAAGGCTCTTGAGCTACTTAGTACTTTCGATTTAGACTCCAATCTGACAATTCCAATTCAATGCAGCCATATACATAAACAGTACTTGACATTTCCATTAGGTACATGTAGATAAATATCTACAGTCTTATAACCATTGTTGTATGTTATTCTGCCCAGACATGCCAGTGTAAGTAAAGCAGGCCTGCCCCAGCATGTCAAAAGAGAGAGGACCCACAGTGCCCCTGTATCCAGGAGAACCAGAGCCACACCACAGACACACAGGACCTCCAGTTGTACAGACTCTACACAGGGTAGGGATAGAAGGAAGAGCTCTACAACTAGGGCTGCTACATCCAACCAGGGAACAGATTCATCAGGAAAACAACCGAACGCCACAGAAAAGAGATCAGACAGACACAAAAGGGTAAGGTTTGGTTTATCGCACACGTGTGGTTCTCTTATATATTTTACAAACACCATACAGCATCAAAGCAATGCACTGATAAACCTCTCAACCTTTAGAAAGAAATTATTATTGGCATTAAAGCAGGTATTAATTGATGTATTTAATCGACCCCCCAGAAACTGTGGCAAGTAGTGGATGAAGCTCTGACACAGAACGGTGTAGGAAGGACCCACAAGAAGTACAAAGCCTGTTGCACTCGCCTGTTTGAGATCTGCAAGATGTTCCTGAAGGTGAGCTTGTCTGTACCATTCCATCAACTTGCAGCAGGTAACTTCAGAGTGATGAAGTCAGTGGTTTTGTAGTTCTCCATGATCTGGTTTGAGCAGGTCCTGTGAAAAAGTGCCCTCTAGCAAATTCTGGCCAAACTGCAGACATTCCATACATGAATATTTCTCACCCCTACGGTATACAGTATGGTAGGTAAATATGAATTAAATATCCTGGATATAAATCTTATGACCAAATATTTCCAGCCAGAAAAAATTATGACATGTATATCACTCATAACTTTTCAAGTTTTCAAACTATGTTTTCAAGAAATGCTGGTAAAACAAAACTGCAGTGACAAATGATACCTACTACACGTAGCTGTCAACATTTTATCCACACGTAAGAACTGAAAATGTCAATTTCCCGTTGCAGGACTTAAAAAATTCCCACAATCTGGAGGATCACATGAAAAGGCTTGCAGAACAGAATGTGAAGCAGGTAAGATTTCACCTTGAAGCAAGCATTAACATTTAGTTGTTTTTTTAAAAGTCGTACTCTTCACAATATTTTTGTTTCATGGTATTGACTTTTTGCTAACCACACTGTACTCAACAGTTGTTTTCCTCCAGTACACATGTCCCTCACAATGAGTCACATCAACATAACTTGTATATGCATCCTATTGCAATGATGAGACCTGCATGCTTTGCAATGCCAAATCTATAACAATGACTACAAGGTATATGATACATGTACAAACTTTTTGCCCCACATTATAACAATTTATTTCCACCATTTTTGCAGGTTGTTGGTTTCTACACTGAGTAGAGGAGACAGCCTAGGGATATAGAGAACAGAAGATACGTTCTCTGTGTGTTCAGCATTGCTTCATACACCAATATGTTACACTGAAGCATTTTAATATTTTAATGAAACGAAAGATGGATTGCTGTAATTCTGTGAATTTTGAGCAAGTGATTTTTTCATCTGTTATTATCTGTCTTTGTACAGTGATAAGTATCATTATTGAATAAACTTTGCAAGAAAGACAGATTGATATGAGCCTTACTCTAAAGGAAGGGAACATAGATACAGACATCCATACATGTTGTGTCATGTTAACCAAGTGCTTGATTGTCATTTTATTGATACTAACAATTGATAGCTGCTAAAAGAAATGCCAAGATGATTGTTACCAAGTCCAGTCCACTTTTAACTAAATACAAATACATGTATTGCTTAAAAATATCAGGCCAATATCTTTGACATTGTCTAGTCCAGACATACTCTTGTCTTTTACTTACATGTATATTCCCTCTAGAAGCCCAAGCAGCAACTTACGTGTCTGGAACTACTTCATAAAGTAGTAGGCTAAGCCATAATCATTGCCCTCTAAATCACATTTCTTTCACCATTCACCATTATATACATACATGTATCTTTGCCTAATATATAATACTGATAATGATATACGGTGCAGGAAAACATTTAAGTACACATATTTAGGTACCTATCGATCAGTCCATTTACTTCACTCTTAGAACACAAGTGCCATAATAAAACAAGAAATAAATTTAGTGTTGCATAGTACATTACTACTAATACTAGTAACATGATAATGATAATAGCTCCTGCATAATAATCCAGAGGAATGTCCCCTGTAGAAACTAAAATGTACACCCAATCTTTCCAGATAGTAAGTTGCTATGACCAGCAAGCATAATTTTTTTTTTTTTACATGTAACATAACATTTTAGTTATGATTGCACTTGCACACGTAGAAATTGATTAATTTGTAACTCGGTGGAACTTCTTTTTTCCGCCATGTTGCTGGTAGTGAGATGCAGTGTTGAGTAAAAGAAATAAATCACATTTACGCATGCAGCATTAAAGATAATGCAGGGCTCTGTTGCTATCGTTAACACACAGAGTGCCTCTTGTGTATCAATGAAAACAACCTCGCCTGTGCTGTATTCAGGGACACTACACAGATAAACCTTTCTTATCAACTACATTACTGCTTTGAAATGAAATTTAGGACACTATAGAATGTAAAAGCCCTCAATATATTCCCTTGTTTGTAATACAGGATTTTAAAGTATTTTGCTGAAAAATATCCTGACCTATTAAGTTCAGTGACCGACTTTGCTAGTACTGAATAGAGGTATCGAGAGAAAAGTTCTCTGTAACATATTTTTATTACAGTTTGCCTGAAAATGACATGATAGGTTTGTCCTGTCTAATACCTGCTCTTCCAAACATCACCGTGAGTTAAACTAGATCTGTCTGTAAGTATGTTTCCTGAAGCCCTGTAGCAGAGATACTAGTAGCAGAATGGTGTCTACTTCAGGTGGCAAAGGGCCTCTTCTTGAAGAAGTTGTTGATCATGGTGAAAGCTGGGTTCGGCTTGTCCATGGGGACCATGTGACCTGCACCCTAAGGTAAACAACACAAGAGTTGTTCAAAACAAATATCACATTTCACAAGTAGGAAATAGCAATCTGCATACAACTGTGATTAAGTCATATTAGACCTTGTATTTCATAGACATTAAGAAATTTGAAATGGAAACTTGTAGATTAATTTCTTTCCTTGCATGTACTATTTCCTTTTCCACTCAATATATGAATATTGCGAGAGGCTCCAAATTTTTCCTGTTATACTGCAAATTAACAAACTGGAAGTGGTTATTCTGCAATTGTGAAGTATAATAGGATGCCATGAATATGTAATATGAAATGCTTCCACATATTTGGCTTCAGGATTCTGATATTTATCATACAGAAATAAATGATACTGCTCTGGATTTGATCAAAACTGTTTTGATTTTCAGAAGGAAATGAATCAGCTGCAAGCATAACATTTCAGAAAGTACATGCTGGTATCTGGATGATTGTATACAAATGGGGTTTTAAGCTGAATAAAGTCCCTCCATCCCCAGTCTGACGAACAGCAGCTATTGGCGTCATGGCCGTTCTGACGCAAATGGTCGTGGGCTCCAATCCATCTCCACCAAACTACGCTGCAATTTCACTTCCTCAGTGCCGTGATAACCAAGTGTAAAGGCTTGCCATCATTCCTCAACCAATCACAAAACAGTGAAAGAATACAAGAAAGAACACAATGCTAGAATTCTCTACTCGTACATTTGTATCTCAATGTAAGGTGAATGTTACGAAGTGGAAAACCACAAGTGAAATATGATCAGCTTCATTTCAGCTTGTGTTTGCACAAGCAGGCGAACAGCTTACTGAGCGCACCTCGTAAACAGCCTGTATTCCCAAGCCAACTAACTGCGCCGCACGCGAAGATCCCCACCAAAGATACCGGCTTTTTCAATTTGAACGTGAGTCTGCCCAAATGCCGGTGATTCTCACTCTCTGGATTCGGTAAATCACCTAATTTGCTTTGTTCAACTTATCAGTATGGCTTTCAATTACAGGGGGTTTAACAACTCACCACAACTTAGTGGGACAGTGGCTACATCTCCCTATCTAGTCTACTGGGTGAGCCGCCCCAGCTGTTGCCAAGTTTACAGTCCATGCATTTTTTACATTTCAATAAAAGTTAGAAGAATCTTTCACTTCTCAAAATACAAACAAGTAAGCTACAAAGGGAAATATTTTGACTATCATAGCACAATCACACATGTGAATCTCAGTTACAAACATGTATTTGTCATAAAATTCCAATGCCTAATTTACAATGCACTCCTAATGTACAAACATTTCCAGTTGACAAGCAGACTTAAAACCAGGCAAGCCATATGCCACATCCACAACATGATTGTATTTTTCCCATTACACATATAATCTACACAGGTCTTTACAGCACCAGTGAAAAGCAAGTTACGGTGATCTCCTTGCTGTGTGATCAGATAAGGCCGAGCCTGTTTGGTGTAGAACTCATCAGTTAAACTCCCAATTACAAGGGGTTTAGCAACTCAACATAGCCCGGTGTGTGGTCTGTGGACTGATGCCCTTGAATACAGGACACTTGTGTACACTACCTGCCTTCTACCGAACGATTAAGGCCTCTGTTTATTTTTCCTAATTTACCAAATTAAAGTACAATGTACTTTCTGTTATAAATGGACAGTGATGTCCATGCATGGGACTAGAATAAGGCATTGTCAACCCATGTTCATGCCTAAAATCTAAGTTCCAAAAGATAAAATTGGTATATGGTGGGGCTATGAATATTTACCTTGACTGTGAGGAAGGCAAAGTTCTGGTATTCTTTAACAAAGCCAGCAATTTGGTCCTTTCCATCATTGAACAGCCATGCCCTCCTCTGGATCTGTTCCTGTTGATGTACACATTACAACATTGTTCATGAAAAATGGGGGTGCAAACATGCAGCTCTGGGTTGTGTGAAAACAAAAGAGGACGGAGTAACAAGATAAACATAAGTCTACATAATGAATTACGATTCATCATTTATCACACACACACAGCTGTAGTAAGCAAACCGTACCTGCATTCCGAGGGACTCTACAAACCACTGGTTCCCTAGGAAGTTACAGGCCATGTCTGTATCTCCATTGTACAGCAGAACACGGTACTTCTGTAGGCAAGAGAAACATGAAGGTCTGTCAAGTTGTAAACATCATTAACTAATCTTTACTAAATTGTTCTGTAACCAATACAAATTAGGGTGTATAAACAGATAAGCAAGGAAACTCTACAGTTTTTTAGCCATGCTTCTCTAATAAAACCAAATTAAACTGTAAATTCCACAGACCATTTTAGAATTATACCTTTTGTATTAAATCACAACATTTTGATAAATTTTTCTATGCAGTTTTCCAAACCCTTGTCCCAAGTACACAGGAACAAACAAAGGTTGGACTGTAGGCTGTTTGACATGCTAACAATGTGGTGCATATGTTGGGTTTAAGTACAGTACTTGACCAAGACTTGATTTAAGACCCATTCAAAAGGAATGTACAGCAGGGACATGACAAGGTCTGCTAAATATACATGTCACCAGAGGAAACTGGGGAATTATGAAGTTACTACTGTCTGTAAAAAAAGTGACAAGGTGAAAAAGCATGTACACACTTAACTTTTGAAAGATGTTATTATCAAAATTTCCATTTCAGAATGAGTTTGATTGATGATTCACAACTAAGTACACAGATTCATCATATTCTGTAAAATGTAGCAAAATCCATCTTACCAAATTTACAACACTACATCATGTCCTGTCCTTCTCCACTAGCCATTAAACTGTGTTTCTGTTTATCTACATTTCGTCCTTGTTGGTTTTGTAGAATTGGACACTACATCAACTTTTTATGACCTGGCACGAGGGGGAGGGAGACCACAAACAGAGCTGTCCCCTGGTGGACATCAGACAACATTATGACCAATTGTCCATGCACGGTTGCCCACAGGGTAATGTGAACATTACCACAGGGCAATATCACCATACCCTCTAGGGAAACATTTGGACCCTTGATGGATGGTACCATTTTATAACCTCAGATAGGGGCTTAACTGTACAAATAATGACCTGAGATGAACAGGACAGCCTTTACGACCCAACAGAGAGGACTTCCCTGTAAAGTGATAGTAAATTACCTCCCTGATGTATTCCGGCTTTATATTGCTTCAAATTGGGGTTTTCCCGTGTAAACCATGGATCTAATGACCTGACATTATTGCCCCATTATGACCCCTGTCATAAAAGTGCAGCGGACCATTATGTCAAATTTATACCAGTCATTTGCCACAGCTTAAACCACAAGGCATGGCTGCAAGGGTGGGGGATTTGGAGGTAATTCAATTACAGAATTGGGCCCTTCTGTTAGAGGATTGCTGGATTTGAATGGATGACCAAGGGAGGGTGAGGGAATTTTTAAGAGGCATGTTTGGAAGGTGTGGTTGTGGTTATTATTATAATTATTGATTTTCCTGGTAGGCTTTCCAATGGAATACTTTTTAATATATAGACAAATTAAGCAGTAAGTCTTTATCTTTAATTAGTAGAGTGTAGATATATATACTTGCAAAATATAGCATTCATAATCAGAATGAATATACTGCTGGTGATATGTATGGAACTGTAATGTCAAGTTTTAAACATTTTGCAAGTAACCAATTTCATACCATGGTTTCTACTGCATTGTACATTACACCCTGAGCATAGGTGGACTGTCAGTTGACACTAGTTTGTGAGAGTTGACCAATGTCTGTACCTCACTGTTTAACCTGGCATGTCCAAAATTCACTACCACTGATCCCTCCAGTATTGCCCCACACCAAACTGGGATCCTGTAAGTCACATATCATTAAACTGGGATCACAGGTTGAGGCACCCCCATCTACAAGGAACGGGCCTATTACATGCCAAATTAATACAATAAAATTGCGGCTTATTGCGTGGATGAGGACGGTATTGGAAAGGGGAGCTGTGGTGACCCTTCTCGCGCTGGTTCTGAAGAGTGCAGGGTCGGGAGAGCGGGGCTCGTCGGGCGTACGCGGGGGATATCTCCCGGAACAGTTCGATATATCAGGCTCAACAATGACAGGCAAATCACATCGGGCAAGGTGTGCCACGTCAGGATGTATCGCTTACTACCTAAGGGGGGATTTATGATATCTTATGACGTCTCAATCATACCTGACTTAGCATTTCCATGGCTCGCAGACCCCATGTGAGAGGTATTAGAGAGGATTTCAGACAAAATTGCAAGTTTTCACATTTGTCTTGATGTGGTTTTAGATAAGACTGGATTCCTATGAATAACGAAACTTTTATTGGTGATATTAATCGCCACAGTGTATTCCTCGGGGAAGCTTCTAAAATGAAGTTTTGATTTTGTTTGAAGAGGATCTGGGGAGAGATTGAATTCTCCATTTGACTGTGACCTTCAAAAAAGTCTGTACTTGATTAATTCATCTGACTCTATATGTCTGTTACTGCAGCCATTTTTCACTACTTTTGCTATGATTTCTTAGACTATGGGACAGGTAACATTGTAACTCAACATTACAGTAGCACTTCCATTATTTCCATTCCAATATTCCATTTTATATGCTTCTTTTGTTTAAAATGGACGGAGACCCTCAATCATTTTTTCTTCTTTATCCCTTTCTAAAATCTCTAATAGTCGTCCAACATTGCAGTCTTTTCATCAAGTATGAGTACACTTTAAACAATCAAGTTAAACTGCATATAAATCAATGTTCCATGAAAATGAAATAAAAGAAAACTTTCAAAGTTGCCTTGGTCCTATAAACCATCAAAAAAAGCAGATTCAAAAATTCTCCATTAACATTACATCTTGTAGCATTACTTCTTTATGATTGGTGGCAGTAAATTAATTAGCTTCCATGGCGTGCGGCAAAGGTGAAGAGATAAACGACCCTCTGCCATCCATCATACATCATCTGTTCTGAAGCTGAGAGCAGTCACAACTTCTCCCCTCAGTACCTTCCTGCTGATTAATTTGTCAGATTCAAACATGGGGCCATAACGTCCATCCATCATACAACATCTCCCCTCATCTACATGCACCATCCAACGTTCGACAACTTCCAACAGTTGGGGCACCAGCTGTCCCGCTCAAATCCCTCGTCAAATTCATGCCAAAACTTGGGTGTAATCCTGAAACATTCTGTCACACCGGATCCAGGTTATCATCCCCGCTTTATCCTCGCTTATTCCTCTGCTTTGATTCGCCTCAATGCAAGGGTAGTTATAAAAACATAAAATACATAATGCTGTCATTCCGTACAGGCTGGATGATGTAGGATTAACTGCTTAAAGGAAAGCCACCTTTATTTTTCATTTTACATGACTGCAACTCTGCGGAGTGGTTACAAAATACGTTTTATGAAGGAAGATGATGCAATCAAATGATGCGATGTTGCCATGTAAGACCTAGTACATATCAGGTTCAGGTCAAAGAGACCGACGTACATGTATTTTGGAAGAGTTTCAAATCAAACATCTTTATGAAACATGGCTATACCCTCACTGCACATTTTGTGCCAAACCATAAAATTGTTTCCTCCCAGTAGATATGACATTCATCAAAGCAACATGATGTACAAGTACAGTCTATTTATTTTGACAAGACACCCTGTTCACATTTCCCTCTGTGTGATCCACACTGCGACCTGTACCATGACAGCAGTCTTCATTGGTAGGCTGCCTGCCACTCCACAACACCAGCCCTAATCCCACAATATCGTGGCTATCACAGCACAGATTCCCATCATCATCCTGGCTAACCGCAGCATCAAGTAGTTCATCCGATCGGGGCCGGGCCCACACAGATCAAACTGTCATTCCGAGTTGTTACAGCTGGAGTTTTTTTATTGTCTTTACGACCCCATCACATCACAGTAATCCTTCTCTGTGGAGCGGTCCTTTATGGGCCAGTCTTAAGTCCAGTTGGATTCAACCTCTGCCAAGCTGGGTTTTATGTCCAAATCACATGTACAGCAGATAGATACGTAGGCAAAGATGCCACAGCTCCATGAACATTATGTTCAGTGGTCTCAACCTTACCCTTTGGATTCATAAGTCAGCTATGCTATGGTCATACATCACAAATACTAGAGTTGTCCATCTGTGGAAATGAGAACTTCTATCTGGGCCAAAGTAGTAGATTTCTTTGGTTCACAAATAAAAGTCACGACCAACATTTGAAAGCAAATGCTAGTCCCCACATGATGTCCCAACATAGAATATGTGTCTGCAGATCTGTTTTATTTTGAGTTGAAAAATTCAATGGCACAAATGGAACAAAAATGTAAAATTCTGAGAACATTCATACATGAATGTGTGCATGTTAGTCATGGAGAAATCCCAAACATACAAGGATCTACTATTTATGTCTTTTCATCCTCAGAAAAAGAAAAAAAAAACTGGAATCAAAAAGTTGTACTTAGGCTGCATAAGTGGGTATAACTCAATGATATAATCATTACACGTAAGCCCAAACTCTCAGGTAATATAAAACTGCTAGAGAAATGGCTAGTTCTACTAGAAGTTGTGAATAGATGAAATGCATTAAATGTTATGATACCTGATATGTATATACACTGTATATTATAGGGATAGGCCAAACCAATTCTATTTCACAATTAGTTCTCAGATTGCTCCACTTCTTCTTTTTCTGATTTCTGATTGAATCAACTCCAAAATGTTAGCCTTTTATGTTGGCCTCAACAGTTGAAGTTCTATCTAGTTGTTACAGTTTTTCATCTATCAATGCAGTAAACTAATTAAAAGTTTAAAATTCATTGTTTGAATTATAAACGAGCCTGGTATGTTGACTTCATTTTAAAAAGATATTGACTTTATGGCTCCTACTGTGGCATTTGAGGTTATCATAGGATGCCTAGGCCTGTAATGACAAATTAAATTGTTGTGGCCTTGAACCTGAAACTTGAACCAAAATGAATGTATCACTGTTCACTGTTGAAATAATGTCCTTTAAAACACCTTGTCCCAAGAGGGCAGGTGGCTGCCCTTAAGGAGAGAATCCCACTGATCCTATTGGCCATTGGAGTTAGTTTATGGATATTGTTTCTAGCTTCTTGGCTGTCCAAGTAGCCCATGGGGCATTGTGGGTAGCTTACTGGCCCATTCCACAAAGACTATGGGACATTGTACTTAGCTTACTGGCAATTGTGGATAGTTTATGGAGCATTGTGGGAAGCTTACCATCCATAGGAGTAAGCTGAAGGACCATTCTAGTTTGCTTTTTAGCCATTGTATGTAAGTTTATGGGTGTACTGTGAAAGTTTTAACTTCAAACTTTCACAGTATGCAAACTTTGAACAGTTTTGATGTAACTATAGTTATAAATCTAAGGATTAGTTCTGGAGTATTGAAATTATCATTTTAATTCTGGTGTGCTTAAAACTTCAATTCCTAAGGGTATAAAATCAAAGTTACACTTTTGCTGTACATGAGTGAAAAGAAGTCCATGAACTTACAAAAGCCATGATGATCTGGTCATACTGAGATTTCATGGTGTCGTATTGGAAAGTAAAGTTCTGTAGAACAGCAGATCTGAAAAATGCAAAAGAAGGAAAATTTACTGTACCACAAGGAAGTAGAGTTTGTGCTTCACAGACAAAATTTCAAAGGCACAATACACTGCAAAATTAGGAAATCTATCTAAATGTGATGTTGTTAATTGTCTTTCTAATTTTTCTTTCAAACTTAGAGTTCCCACGATAGGATAATTTGATACTCCACTCTTAATACATGTACAAACCATGGTAGTGAATCCCAATGTCACACACTGTTCCCATTCCCTTCAACAAGTTATCTCTTTTTAGCCTGGGTGCTATCCACTGTAGTGTCACCAGCGACATTAAACTATGGAGGATGGCACCAAGGCTAAGCTCTTTTGCCATCCACCAATTCTTCTTATGCTCTTATTATGTTCTTCTTATGTTCTTGGTACAAATCTGGCGTATCTGAGATATCATAGAAAGAAGCACGTACGAGCATTCTTCCCAGGAGGTGATATTGTCAGGTATATGAAGACTCTGCCTGACGTATGGGTTGTTGAGGTATGCTGTGATGGCCGACGTGTTGACACAGGGGATCTTTGCCTTCAGCTTGTGGCTGGGGATGTCCCTCAGTAGCTACATGTTGTACCATGGAGAAAGAAATGTAGAAAACGGTGGTGATAATCATCAATGTGATTCTAACATCATAGTAACATTCATCTTAAGATTGAGAAGTTACATATTAATGACCTGACTTTGAATACAAACATTACAAAGTGAATTGCAAAACCCATAGAAAAATGGCATGACTGTATATATCTGGACACTCTAAATCTTTAAAGACACAACTTCAAGTCTACATCTATCAAAAATCCTGTGTACTTAACATGAAAATCAAACATTTTATTTCGATCTTCAAAGAAGTACATGATTATAGTAAGACATGATGGTATACCATATAGTCTATGCCAAAGGATGTAACAACCAGCCATTGTATGCCATCCCACAGCACACTCAGACTACTGTAAGATTATGACATGACACTTCAATAAGTCTCGGATATAATAATATAATCCCAGAGTAACAACTTTACCGTCCTTCTCTTCTGTCCGAAGTAGTCGTTGTGGAACACAGGCGGGTCAATATCATAGGTGACGTACTTCTGCCCATCAAAGCCCAGCCCAGAGTGAGGCGGGATCCCTCCGGAACAGTTGGCGTACAGGTTGTACCTGTTCAGTCCTATGTCCTTGATCACATGGGACACCTCCTGCATCTAGGATAAGGTATTACAAGGTCTTACTATACTACTACCAGTAACAGAATTGCTCCTGTTGTGAGACAGGTTGGAGGTGCACTGTTGCCAGTTTTGTGTTTGAGACCATACACTAACAGAATCATGGCTAGAAATACGACCTGCATATACAATTAAGTGCAGATGAAATTGATATTTCTGATGTCTACCTGCACCTAACCTGCACTGGTCTAATTGTTTATGTGTCATAGTGGGGTAGAAAATGAAGTAAATAGACTACAACTTTAATTGTAATATTATACTTACAGCAGTGACACAGTCAGGGTTGGTATTGTTGTAGAAGTTACAGGAGTGTGCATTGATGCTGTTGTTGTTGGGGCAGCAAGACTGTGTCAGGGCTGTCCATAGGCTATACAGGAAAATATCATTTATGCATTTAATCCTAGTGCACAAATTCTAATAAGTGCAAAAGTCCTTATCACAAACTTAACATCTAAGCTATGGTAAACCATAGGGAAGTGGTAGAAACATGTGACATTGTACATACACAAATAGACAATGGACATTCATAATTTTTACTATTATTATTCAGACACACAACTTCTAGGTCCAATGCAGTTAATATCTCTAGATCCCTTCAACTGCTTTACTGTATGGTGAAGATAAAGACAAACCATTTATATTCAGTACAATGTGAGATGTGGAAAGAACACTCAGTCTTTTGGTCTATACATGTAGTATAATACTCACTCATCCCCAATCAGGCCATGGTAATAAGCAAAGTAGACTAGAGAGTTGCCATTCAGTTGAATACTGCTCAGACCATTTCCAACTGCAATACCCTGAAAAAGAAAAATGAATGTATTTATACATTATTAACCATTTGACAATAAAACTGCACTGTCTCTTAAATAAGCACATTCTGTGACAAAAAAAGACTCCAAACTATTTCTGGTTTTGTGGCTGACAATAGACAATTATGTGTATTGACCAGTACCAATTCATTATTTTGTACCTACCTGAAAATTGATGGCTGACTCCTGCATAACCTTGACAGCTAACATTGGGATATAGAAGCCAGCATAACTGGATCCCGTAATGAAGAAGTTGTGGGTTTTATAGTAAGGGTACATTTTGAAGAAGTCTTGTAGAGCAAGATAATTGTCTTCAGCAACCTGGAAATAAGCAGATTTTAGTTGTTATTCTGAGACTACAACATTAGTCAAAAGAAGAATCTGTTCTATATTAGAACAAATTTCAGCCATGTAGACTGTCTAGTTGAAGTACTTCCCATGACATGAGTTCTTGTCTTTCTGGTAATTGGCTAATATGAAACGGGGGTTCGCCAGGCCTCCATCCAGGTGATTTAAGTGAATTACCAACTTCCAGACAGTAGACCTTTGACCATGATCACACATCATGACCCTACTCTGAGTGAAGTAAGGAAAGTCCTTTAATTAAAGTGCCTTTCCCAATGGCACAACATAGGGCATGTCACCCAGGGATCGAACCAGTGACCTCTTGGTTCAAAGCTGAACATACTGACCATTATGCCATGCGATGCCACATTTGACAGAGGTCTGTAGAATAACACAAGTTACCTCATCATCGTTAGTGGTGTAGTTCTGCTCGTCAGAATAGGAGAAGCCCACACCGGCTGGTGACTCCAGATACAGCACATTAGCCTCCTGTACGTACATACAGGCAGAACGGGAGTGTGATCGACAGAGTACCAGTTAGGCTCAAGTGTAACAGATGTACCAAAATGTCAACTTGAAGTCATTCATGCTGACTAGAAGAAAAGCTTAATTGTACTGTCCTTACACAAGGAGTTGATGGATTCATTTTTTCCAACGATTTTTCATCAAAGTAATACTACCTATAAATGTATACTACTCATACTACCAACAGCAAAAAAACAGGCACTTTCATATAATAGTATTAATGCCACAGGTAAGAATATAAAATGTTGGTACCTTGTTCCAGCTGTAATAATTGTAGTTAAGGCTGAAGCCATCATCTTGAACCTGCAAAGGGAAGGACAAATAGTAAGACAAAATGTGCAATTCCCTTTGTGAAACATACATGTATTAAGGTGCCATTAAGTCATACAATCACTTAAGATATCATATTGTTTCATTCTAATTACTTCTAGATTATAATAACAGGAAAATAAAGATATGTTACTCATAAGAGTATCTCTTCTAACAACATTACTGGATGGTAATGTTCCAAGACAATTTCTGTAGCAGTGCTCTTACAGTTTATCTCTTCAACTCGTATTGTTCCCAGCTGCCATCACACAGACAATGATGTGATTACTACCTGTTTTAATTTGTCTAAGTGCAGATTGACGAATCTTACAGACCCTTGAGTTGATGTAAATATTCAATTTAAGAATTTGGGAGGAGCCCAGTGACTGTTGTCAAAGTGATCATAATTTTCCTCTCATCATCATTTCAAATCATCCACTGTCAACATGTAAAATGACTATCTTAATTTGCTACAAAGCATTGCGTTTAGAGTTATTTTCTTTCAGAAAAGCTGTGAAGAGATGTGATGTCAAGACAGAAGGACTTGAAATATACAGAGGGTATGGGGGGTAATGACACAAAACTTCTCCGAAACTACCTTGAGATGAGCTGAAAGGAGGAAACCTTTTCAGACATGCCTCTCCACACAGCAAATGTTTTATAAGAAGCCAGGGCATGTTTGGTGAGGGTGGGAGAGGTGCCACATATCAGCAGGCCTGTGTTGACAGGCCAGGGAAAACACAAGGTCTGACACCTTGGGGGCTTTTCCACAGCTACGCAGTCATGTATGTGGAACAAATGTCACATGCTTTGATGGGAGGGACACACAAGCTTGGACCAGTTATGACACATTTAAATTAACTTTATCATTGGGAATTTGACTGTATCTGTATCTGCATAGCTGGTATAACCACCCTTTGGTGTAGCACACCAGCTTTGCAGGCACAAGGCGCAGCAGCAGCTGGCTACATTACACCTAACCCTTGAACATCTAACTCTAACATTGTCTAAAGCTATCTAATGATAAATGGCTCTACTTATCATATCGACATACATTGTACCATCAATGGAGATATTGTATCGAAAGGACAATTTGAGAGAGTTTGAAACAGTACTGAAGTTTCAATTTCCATTTTAATACAAAATTTCTTGCAATGTGTAACTTTGTTATTGCATTGTTCTACAACCTTAAATCTGTACAGTTTGTTACTATTATGATGTCTTGTTACTATTATCAATTCTGCATCCATTGGCAGTGGCTGCATCCAGTATGACAGCACAGCTAGGATATAAATGGCCTGGTCAGAAGGGGGAGTATGTCTCCTGTTGAGGTGTAGGAGTGTACATGGCAGTTTAACATACTTTTAAGGGAATAAGAGGTGACAGACTTCCAACAGTTACAATACTACATACACATACAAGATGAGTGTTTGGTCTCATTCTTTAATATAAAAACTCCTGTATGCTGTGACAGGCTAAGAAGGTAATTAATACAGTAAAACAGTTGCAAACCACACTTAAATTCTTCAAATTGCACATAAAATTTTTGAAACTTTGCACATGGCTTTAAAAAAAGAATTTCAATCCCTGAAGATGTAATGTCAATCGAACATTGAAGTTGAAGACAATAAAGAACAATTGACAGGGATGCTGATGATATAAGGACGTAAACTCAAAAGTACGTACAGTGATCAGTAAAGCTGTGTGCAAAGTCTACAGGCATGTCTCCCCATTGTCAACAAAGTGACAGTGAAGTGGCAAGTTCACTGAACTGCTGGTTTGCATACATAAGGAACAGTTTTGGGACTGACTATGCAGATAGTCCTGACCGATTACACAGTTGGGACAGAAAAAGACCTGTGATCTATTTATAGTAGCATGATGATTTACCACTGTGCCACTGTGTATAACTTACATGTGTTATCTATTGGGGTGAGAAGAAATAAGATGGTTCATCATTACAGTAACAGGGAACATACAATAGAAATGGCTCTTAAACTTGTATTTGCTATAATTGTCTTCAATATGTAGAGCACTTAGTCAAGAGTAATGAAATGTCCCTGTTGGTTATGTGTATTGACTTTAAGTTCAGTGTGTGGGTTAGACTAGAGTGGTTTGTGGTGCCTCTGAGATTTCTTGGCACTGTCAGCTTGGCCAACAAAATTGGCCCACTACCAGATTGGCTTTGAATTTGATGTTGTTCTTTCACTTTTTCATTTTGACGGCTTCTTTAATCCTTAAAGAATGGCAAAGTGTACATCATACTAACAAAGCAGCTATCAAAGCAGCTTAACTTCTTCTACCAACATAACATAAAGATGAAGTTTGACAGCATTCAATTTCTGGGCATAGTCAAACTTAAAGCAGCCTGGATGCCAAACCCACACTAGGCCTAAAGTTAGGCAGCCTGATCAGGGCCTAACTCAGGGGGGCTGTGGTAAAATTTCCTTGGGTGCATGTTGGCCCTGAAGCCCAGGACTGGCCTGTGTAGGCCCTGGAAACAGTCTGGCACCCAGGCTGAACTTGAAGTTGCTTGGTTTACCAAACTAACTAAGCAAGGTTAAAGTTGGACATTGACCTTAAACCTAACCTATTCATTAGCTGTTTGTATTTGAAGACAGTAATTAGCCAGTGCATTTTACTCTGCATCTGTTACGAGAGTAGAAAGTCTTCATTTGGTTAATCACCCAGCAAGAGTCATCCTGCAAAACTTCCCTGTTCCAATTGAACCAATCAGGGCCTCAGCCAGAGATGTGTGCCAAAATCAGGGTCAGTTCCAAGCCGGAGACTGCTCCTGATTTCTGTCCGGAGGTTTTATGGCTGCTAAGTGGATGTGAGGAGGGTATGATACAGTCCAGAGGCCTGCCCACTGTGCTTAATACCCCCTTGTCACCGCATGAGGGCGGGGATCAGAGCGGGCCAGCCCAGCCCCGATGGTTAGCACCCACTGGGAGGGAAACGTGTCACGTCTGCCGTCCCGTCTTCACCAGACCCGCGCCCTGGCACCATGCCGTGAGCGCGCGGCGCAGCGCGAGGCTCGGGCCATAAAGTCGCAGGGTGGTGTCCATATACTTCACTGGTTTTCCTCACACACTACAAGTCAAGCCCACAGAAGCAGGCGAGGTGAAACGGCTGGGACGACCCCCTTCTCCTCCCTCCAACCTCCTCACTTCAATTAGATTGGCAAAAGCTGACCCAGGAAATTATCACAATAAAGACCTCTCCAAAATTAAGTTAAAACCAGCCGCCCCGCATTTATTCTGCTAAAATGAAATTATGAATCAATCCACTTTGTGCTGGATACTTTTTTCCACAGTGATTAGGGGGACCGTGTCATTGCAAAAACAACTAGGATGAATTGGATCAAGTAAATCATGCTGAAATGTCTTTAAGGAGATTAAAACTTGCCATTGTATCCCACAAAGTCACCTTCTCTGACCCATACATGTTATAGTTGGGACCTGGTGGACCTAATTCATAACTCAAAGTATTGTGATAGCCAGAGGTAACATATGCATAAGATGTCACTGGACTTTCAGTACATAGCTTGTTTTCACAGTGTATTGAAAGTTTATCATTTTCCTTAAAAGTAAATAGAAAGCCATTCACATTCACATTGCTGTACATTCACATTGCTGTGCAATGTTCTGTCACATTATGCAGAAAAATAATTACAAGTAAAAAGAATATCAGTTCAAAGCCAACGATCACACATAACATTTTTTAATTCACCTTGCCTGTCTTCCAAAATATTACAATTAATAAATTTACTTTCCTGTTCCTATCACTTGAAGTATTACAATATTGGTCATATCTGTGGGATCATTTAGCTGTAAGTCATGTTTTATAAGAGTAATAGCCAAACCTTATAACTTACAAATTTCTACAGGAAACATTTTGTAGCAGAAATATTGCTGAGATACACCAACAAGATGAGAAAGTTTACTTCAGTGCACAACATTTGACTTTGCTGCTAATCAGAGATTTAGTTCAGCAGTGTCTAAGATTGTTGAGCTGGACTATTTTTCAGCAACTCTTAACCTAATTCCTCACTTAGCCATCGACCCCTGCTACTGACAAGGACAGTGCTCCGAGACGGCAGGCTTTGACCTAATTCTATTTCCACGGAATTTACAGTGTTGCATGACAAGCCACCATAACATGTCAGACCCCCTGTGATTGGTCTGCTTCCGCTGGAGCTACTCCTGCACGAGAACTCTGCATAACTGTCACAGCCAATAGGAACAGGGGATAATAATGTAGTTTAACACTTTGGAAAAACGGACACAGGATAACAGTCAATTTTTCCTTCCAATGATACCAACAAAATTCTGAGCTCAAAGCTTTCCTGTGAGTTATTAAAAACCAATGATAAAATTCTGAATAAAGTAATAAGGATTCAATAGATTTTTACTGTCCTGAACATTTTACAATGCCTTAACAGTTACTTATTGAAATATATACATGTACATGAATATTTTTATGAACATGATATTGAATACCAACATATTTTCTTTAGGTTTCTACACCACCTCCTACTTATCCACTGATGGTATACCATCTCAACACAGGAGAGCACTATTACAGTGGTAGATATAATTTCATCTTCTTTAGAATCTTTTCTTTATGGATATGGTAACAGTTACCCTTTCCTAGTAAGGATAACTTTGGGCCACTCCTTAGAAGTGATTAGTAAATATGACAAAGCAGCTTTGACACATATTCCCTTCAATATAATCACATATTCATCTTCTGTGAACAGAAAATTGTCCCAGAATCTTATTAACACAGCGGGTACAGGATAGGGAGGTATCATACATGTATTAATCACTGAGCTGGGGGCGACTGTTAACTCCAATTGGGGTCATCCTATCCACACGAATCAGCCAGCATCAGCCACTGTTGTGGATATCAGTGAGTAAAGCTTACGATGGGGCGGAGTTTCTCGGAAAGTGACCTAGTCATGATACGCATTCCTCACCAAAGAAGGTCCT